GTTGCAGCAGGTTTTGGTCCCTTCCCATGACCCTGGGACACTGTGACCGTCATAAATATGAATCGGTTGCCAAGCATCTGAATGTAAATCACAAGACCCTGGAGAGGCTGCAACATTCCAGCTGATCGGCGTTTCTTCTGGGCTCAGCAGAAGCACCAGGATCAGCGCTACTTTCCAGCTGATTGGTGCTTCTTCAGGGCTCAGCAGAAGCGCCAGGATCAGTGCTGCTTTCTAACTGATTGGTGCTTCTTCAGGGCTCAGCAGAAGCACCAGGATCGGCTCTGAGCTCCAGCTGGAGCCTGGCGCTGATCCTGGCACTTCCACTGAGCCCTGACAGCCCCGAAGAAGCTCCAATCAGCTGGAAAGCAGCACTGATCCTGGCGCTTCCGCTGAGCCCTGACAGCCCTGCAGCTCCAGCCGTCTCTCGCTCAGGCTTGTGCGGTGCTGCCACCGGTTCAGCTCATTCCCCTCCCCCGCTACCCCTTTTCTAGGATGGTCGTGTACCCCCTGCCAGGGGCCAATGGACCACAGGTGGTACCCGTACCCCTGGTTGAAAAGCCCTGACATATTGTACAGCTTTTATTAGAGAATTTCATACAGAAACACACACACAGCGAAAACACAGGAAAATCATACAAAATCAATACATTTACGTATGTATGGTTTTCTCCTGGTTTGATCATTCTTTCTGAAAAAGAGTCAGTCTTAGTCTGTTTCTTATTCTTTGTATGAAGGCGAGCGGAGGAAGCACACTCAACGGTGGCCATGCCCCTCAGCAGACCTGAGCATTTTTCCAAAGCAAACGACTTTACTTGCATTATCAAATGATGACATTCCCCTGTTTCAGAATATCTGCAATTTCTGCGTCCTCCTCACTTACTTCTTCTGCTTCATTGTTGCTTCCAGCACTTTCCCGCTGGGTTGTACCTTGTTCAGTACTGATTGGGAAATTGGATCAGGCTTGGGCTTAGGGTTAGGGCTTTGCTTCTGCAGACGGACCCTAGCTTTGCATTTTAGCAATGACCCCCTGCAGAAGGCGGGCTTGGTCTTCCCTTTGGAATGTTTTGATTATCCCATGGACAAGAGGTTGAATTCTTGAAACAACAATAATAATAATAATAATAATGTTGGAAGGGACCTTGGAGGTCTTCTAGTCCAACCCCCTGCTCAGGTAGAAAATCCTATTCCATTTCAGACAAATGGCTGTCCAGTCTCTTCTTAAAAACTTCCAGTGTTGGAGCATTGACCGCTTCTGGAGGCAGGTAGTTCCACTGGTTAATTGTTCTGACTATCAGGAAGTTTCTCCTTAGTTCTAGGTTGCTTCTCTCCTTGATGAGTTTCCACCCGTTGCTTCTTGTCCTGCCTTCAGGGGCTTTGGAGAACAGCTTGACTCCCTCTTCTTTGGGGCAGCCCCTGAGATACTGGAAGACTGCTATCCTGTCCCCCCTCGTCCTTCTCTTCATTAAAATAGGCAGACCCAATTCCAGCAACCGTTCCTCATATGTTTAAGCCTCCAGCCCCCTAATGCAGGGCTTTTCAACCAGTAGTACAGGTACCACCTGTGGTCCATTGGCACCTGGCAGGTAGTACGCGACCATCCCAGAAAAATGGTAGCGGGGGGGGGAGGGGAATGAGCTGAACCGGTGGCAGCACCGCACAAGCCTGAGCGAGAGACGGCTGGAGCTGCAGGGCTGTCAGGGCTCAGCGGAAGCGCCAGGATCAGCACCAGGCTCCAGCTGGAGCTCAGCACTGATCCTGGCGCTTCTGCTGAGCCCAGAAGAAGCGCCGATCAGCTGGAATGTTGCAGCCTCTCCAGGGTCTTGTGATTTACCTTCAGATGCTTGGCAACTGATTCATATTTATGACGGTCACAGTGTCCCAGGGTCAGGTGAAGGGACCAAAACCTGCTGCAACCACCCAGCAGACCGGGGGGGGGGGAATAAAAACCAAACACCCCCCATCATCAGAGGTTTTAGCTTCTTTCTGTTTAAGCAAGCAATGCTGGCACTTTCAGAGCAGAACTGTGAAACATAAATCCCACTCTAGTTTAACTCACAGTATGTGTACATAACATAATACAGGGGTCTTCCAACTTGGCCCTTTGAGGACTGGTGGACTTCAACTCCCAGAATTCCTCAGCCAGGCACGGTTGCCTGGCTGAGGAATTCTGGGAGCTGAAGTCCGCCAGTTATTAAAGGGCCAAGTTTGAAGATCCCTATTTGGATCCAAGCCCGGAGTTTCATCAAAATGGCCGACTGAGAAATTCTGGGAGTTGAAGTCCACCAGTCATCAAAGGGCCAAGTCTGAAGACCCCTGAGGTAGTACTTTCCTTGCTGCCGTAAAAGTTGTTCGTAAAATCATGGAAACCACGGAGGGCCTCCCCGCGCCCCTGTTCCCTCAAGTGACGGAGACTTGGTGGCCCCCAGACCTAAGTGTTCATTCCCCATTTGCTGTAAATAAAATGTTTAGAGACTAAAAATTGAATGAATAAATCCTCCCTCCCAACCCTCCACTCCTCCTGGCAAAAATGACGCCCACAGACCCGGGAGCTGGTTGCCAAGGGTTCCCGGCTGGCATTCCTGTGGCTTCCCAGCCCAAACACCCCACAGGAGGTCTTGTTGCAGCCACATGCTGAATTTAGAAAAAATAAAATAAATAAATTCCAAAGGAAGGAAATGGGATCCATGACAGGAAGTGCTGATTGGTTCAAGATGGCCCTTTTTATTTAAGGATTGCTTGCTCAGGAATGCAGTTCTATAACTTGACTACAGCAACTTAGTGACTGCAGCGATTCACTTAACAACTGTCGTAAATGGGACAGAACTCACTTAATAAACGTCTCGCTTAACAGCAGAAACTTTGGGCTCAATTGTGGTCGTAAGTTGAGGACAACCTACACTTAGTTCTTTAACTCGGCCATAATCAAATGTTAAGTTATCAGTAAAAATAACATTCATACTTGCAGATCTGGAAAAATGGTATTCAAGGTATTTAAGTATGTCAATCATGTGGCTGATGTAATGAATCTAAGAGGCATCAGAACTGCCTGCATCTGTGTGATATTGCAGTAATTCCTTACATGCAAAACAGAACTGGTGTTTATCTCTGTCTCTCTTTCTCTCTTTCCTCTCTCTCTCTCTTTTCCTCTCCCTCTCTCTCTTTCTCTCTTTCCTCTCTCTCTCTTTCTCTAATCTATATATCTATATCTATCTTTCTATCTCTATATCTATCTATCTAAATATCTCTATGTATCTCTCTCTCTCTGTATCTATCTATCTATCTATATCTATATCTCTCTGTATCTCTATATCTATTTATCTCTATATATCTATCTATCCATCCATCTCTATCTCTCTGTATCTCTTTCTATATATAATCTATATATATCTAATCTATCTATCTATCTATCTATCTATCTCTATATCTATCTATCTCTATATCTATCTCTATATCTATCCATCCATCCATCCATCCATCCATCCATCCATCCATCCATCCATCTCTATCTCTCTGTATCTCTCTCTCTATATATAAAATCTATATATATATATATCTAATCTATCTATGTATCTATCTATCTATCTATCTATCTATCTATCTATCTATCTATCTATCTATCTATCTATCTCTAAATATCCCTATCTATCTATTTCTCTCTATCTATAATCTATATATCTGTATCTGTATATCTATCTGTCTGTCTGTTTGTCTGTCTATATCTGTATCTATCTAGCTCTCTGTATCTATCTACCTACCTACCTACCTACTACCTACCTATCTCTATACATATATACATATATATATAATGTGTGCATGTATGAATTCTCCTGCCAGCAAGGCAGTTGGTCCACACCAAATGGCCAAGAAACCCTGGTATATATGGCATCTAGAATGCTAAATGCATAAACTCCTAGAACAGGTTTTAGATGCAGTGTTCTTTACCAAATTTAGCCTGCAGTTCTAGGCGTGTTATTTGGATTCAATTTGTAATATATATTCAACAGTTCTTGCTGTACATTTTAAACTAAACTCTTTGAAGCTTTTTGTTTTTTTCTTTTTGGCCTGAGGTTGCATTTCTTGGTACTACGGAGCAAAGAAGAGAGTTAAAAGATGCTGGATGTTAATAACCAACACATTCCAATCACCAAGCTTATTTTTTTTCCCCAGAAAGGTAGAACCACTTTATTGTAAAAATTGTTCACCCTCCATTCCAGGGATTGGCAGCCTATTGCTCACAAAAACTAATTTTGCAAAGTGATTTAGCAAACAAGTTTGGGGCTGTAAAATTAAGATTTTGGGCTTGAAGTCTAAAACAGGGTTTCTTAACCTTGGCTGCTTTAAGATGTATGAACTTCAGTTACCCAAATTCCCCAGCAAGTGTGAAAAACAGTCATGGGTCACTTTTTCCAGCACCACTGTAACTTTGAACAGTCACTAAAGAAATGGTTGTAAGTTAAGGACTGCCTGTATGGCAGGGGTTCTCAACCTTGGCAACTTTAAGACTTGTGGACTTCAACTCCCAGAATTCCTCAGCCAGCAAAGCTGGCTGAGGAATTCTGGGAGTTGAAGTCCACAAGTCTTAAAGTTGCCAAGGTTGAGAACCCCTGCTCTATGGTAATTTTATTTGCAGCTCTCCTGTGGATATATATACCCAAGCACTACAACTTCCTTGCACAATATGGGAGATGTAGAGATACTGCAGTGGATACGTTATTTAAATTAGCTTCTAGAATTCTTTTACATACCTTGACAAAAGGCCTTTGACACTTTCACATCCGTGGCTGATGGCGGATGTTTGCATTAGCATTAAACTGCTTGCATCAGGATGCATTAAGAGTGTTAAAAAAAGTTACTCATTAACCACCTAGCAATTGTGGACTGTTTGTGAGGATGACCTTCCGCATACAGATGTTGACTGAAATAATTAAGAGTGAAAGCTTGACCGTGCTGCTTTATTAACTCCATAATACCCATCTTATAGTTGTTGTTTTCTTCTACAGGAAGACTGAAATTCATCAAGCAAGACAATTTGAAGTTCAGAAGGTAAGGGTGGGTTTTGGGGGGTATATATAAAAATTTTATGTTATTCAAATAGGATGTTTGTATAAGAAACATCTGTCCATTGCCACGCTGAAACATAGCAATAAAATAGCATGTTTAAGGTGTCTATTGAAATTAAACATTTGCTTTCTGGCTTTTTGCGGACTTCACAAATTTATTGTTGGTTTTCTCTTCTAAGTAGCCCGGCCACCTTTTTTTGTTATATCATACTTTTACAGAAAGCAAATAAGTGAATTTCTCATTCATATTCTCTCAAACAATTCTGTTAATTTAATCTGCTGGAATAGTATTAGGTTTAACCGTATGCTTCAAGAGGTGTGTGCCACAGTGTTGTTGTATGTAAGGTTTTTGTACACCTTTATGATTACTTTGGGTCCCAAAGGGGTTTAAAATTCTCCCTCGTCATTCCAGATGTGATCTTCTCTGACTTCAGATATTTGCTTCCTTTGAACCTCACCCAAACCATAATGAGGAAAATGCAGCTACTCTTGCTTTATCTCTGTGTCCCATTTAAAAAAAAAGAAGCAAAGCTTTATTCCCTTGGCTTTATTCATGCACAGAAACTCATATTGGTTCTTGGCTTTCTTTCAGATCAAGAGTCTTCAAATGTGGCCCTTTTATGACATGTAGACTTCAACCCCCAGAATTCCTCAGCCAGGCACTGCTGGCTGAGGAATTCTGGGAGTTGAAGTCCACAAGTCATAAAAGGGCCAAGTTGGAAGACCCTTACTTTAGATCAAAGGTCTTCAAACTTGGCCACTAAGACTTGTGGACTTCAACTCCCAGAATTCCTCAGCGAGCCCTGAGGGCTGGCTGAGGAATTCTGGGAGTTGAAGTCCACAAGTCTTAAAGTGGCCAAGTTTGAAGACCCTTGCTTTAGATGGAAAAGAATTTGAGAATTACACAGACTGTAACTGTGTGGTATAATGTGTAAAGGGAGAGGTTACCTCTATCCAGTCATATTTGATAATAAATCTCCATTTCCTTGCTGAGGGACCAGCACTGTCCAAAGACTCTTCCGTGGTCGGCATAATTACACGCCGAGGCACAGAGAATGTTGTTACCTTCCTACCAAAGTGGTACCTATTTATCTACAGGCTTTCAAATTGCTCGGTGGCTGGGAAGCGGGGCAGGAACGGGTGCCCATCCCATTGTGCGATCCTTGGGTCTCGAACCACCGACCTTTCGATCAATAAGCCCAGGGTCTTAACTGCTAGGTCACGGTGCCCCGTACGGCATATCAACATTGGAGCAACGCAGAACAGAGCCTCTATGTTTAATTGAAAGTCGGGCACTTTGTGCCTTAATTTTTTTGCTTGTTTCTCTTTCCAAGAGAATTTGTGTTGGTGAAGACCAATAAGCCTCTATGAAATATTTATTGAACATCATAGTATTGAATCTTCCTCCTTGGATGATCTCAACCAGACATTGAGATTAAAATCTGTATGTTTGATTCTTCTATGATTTAATAGATGACAACCGTGCTCTTAGAACTGACATTATGTTAACTACACAAGCCTTTTAGAATTGCAATACATGTGCTTGGTTTGGATATAAAATCCATATGATAACCTTCTAGGAATTCTTGGGGGGGGTTGCATTTCCATCAGTTTCATGCCTTTAGGAACTTCAGATCTCTTAAAGAATAATGCAGGAAACGTCGCTAAGTCTGCCAGAGAATGTTAGCTAATCTAGCTAAGTGCTTGCATATCCCAGAAGTGTAGATTCCTGACCGATGGGTAGAGATTAATTGTGCGATCTCCGTTTCTTTTTTTAATCCACACACGTTCTAAATTTCAATTAAATATGACAAGCTTTTGTTCTCTTTTATACCAGAGTATTCATAAATGACAGCTAAGAATCTCTGTTCTGAATAGAACATGATGGTTAAGCATGCTGCTTGTAAACTCACATTCATCGTTCTAGCCATTGGCCGTCCGCTGCAGGACGAAGGCCTTTCGCACGTGTTTCCAACCAAAATGGTTCCTTTGCCAGCTGGGCCCAAAATACTTGCTGATGTCATCGCTCCATCTTGCTTTGTGGACGCTTTTTATAATAATAATGATAATAAAGTTGGAAGGGACCTTGGAGGTCATCTAGTCCAACCCCCTACTCAGGCAGGAAACCCTATATCATTTCAGACAAATGGCTGTCCAGTCTCTTCTTAAAAACTTCCAGTGTTGGAACTTCTTCTTCCTCCTCCTCCGCCTCCTCCTCCTCCTCCTCCTCCTCCTCCAATCTTCATTCCCTTCTAGTACTGAAGATGTTACCTAGTCAGGTAATGAAACATCTGCAAGAAAACAACCAAGCTCAGAGAGAACCAGGGATCCCTCATTTCAACCCTGAGCTACGAATATTCTCCTTTATTGCCTTCCATATTTTCTGCCAAGTACTTGAGCTTAATTTTTTTTTTTCCAGAAAGCGTCTTGAGATTTCTGACTTGGTGCTCTGCATTGTGGTTTTATAACGTTCGTTTTTATAGCACTTCGTATATATAATTCCAGACAGGCTGTAGGTGACGACGTTATTGTATTCTCCGTCTCCTCCACCTGGTTGCAGGCTTTTCGTCCGTGACATGAAACCCTGAAAAGTGCAGACTGGATTGAGGAGAAGATGGGAGCAGCAAGCAGCAGCATTCATGACCTTCCAGAAAACGAATATTTGAAGAAACTGACCGGGCGAGAGGCCATCTCCGAGAACGACCCCTTTTGGAATCAGTTGCTTTCTTTTAGCTTTACCATCCCCACAAACAGGTAGGTGTTACACACTGAACAATTACATTTAGTCATGAAAACAGAACAAGCAGATTCTGTCATAACACTGTGCCATACAGTGTCAACCTTATTAACTCCGAAGACTCTTTTTTCCACCATGATTCAAAACGTACCGTGATACACACACACGTACGGGTTTTGGTGTCATTTTTGTATAACGCGGCACTTTGGGCTGCTGCTGCTGTTATTATGTTATTGTTATCCTTGGGAGGGTGACCCTATTTTCTTGGTTGCTTTCCTTCTTTTGAGAGTGGTGCATCGGAAATTCATTTTGAGGTGTGCCAGGAAAAGGACAATAAAGGTAATAATAATAATAATAATAATAATAATAATAATAATAATAATAATAATAAAGTTGGAAGGGACCTTGGAGGTCATCCAGTCCAACCCTCTGCTCAGGCAGGAAACCCTATACTATTTCGGACAAATGGCTGTCCAGTCTCTTCTTAAAAACTTCCAGTGTTGGAGCATTCTCCGCTTCTGGAGGCAGGTGGTTCCACTGGATAATTGTCCTCACTGTCAGGAAGTTTCTCCTTAGTTCCAGGTTGCTTCTCTCCTTGATGAGTTTCCACCTGTTGCTTCTTGTCCTGCCTTCAGGTGCCTTGGAGAATAGCTTGACTCCCTCTTCTTTGGGGCAGCCCCTGAGATACTGGAAGGCTGCTGTCCTGTCCCCCCTCATCCTTCTCTTCCTTAAACTAGACATTCCCAATTCCAGCAACCGTTCCTTATATGCTTTAGCCTCCAGTCCTCTAATCATCTTGGTTGCTCTTCTCTGCACTCTTTCTAGAGTCTCAGCATCTTTTTTACATCGCGGTAATCTTAACAAAATTCTCAGGTTTCCTAGCTAGTTGAACAAAAAGCCTCTTTTTGGGTAAAAGCCCTACAACTGGCTGGTCAGAGCAGTGGAACCCTCCTTTCTCCTGCTTATCATAATTTAGATCATCACAAAAAGAGATTGGTTAACTTGACCTGCTTAGTAAATATACTTGCTCTAGGTTGGTGGACATCTTTACAAACACTTTTGGAAGGACTTACAACCACAATTGAGCCCAAATTTTTTGTTGCTAAGCAAGGCAGATGTTAAGTGAGTTTTGCCCCATTTGCACTTGTGAAGGGAGTTTGGCTTCTCCCGGTGCCTTTGCTTGCTGGAAGCCATGTGGGAAGGTTACAGACGGTGATCACAGGCGCCCAGGGCTGCGCAATGGTCATAAATACAGGCTGGTTGCCAAACACCCCAAATTTTGATCACGTGACCAGGGGGACGCTGCAGTGGTCATAAATGTGAAAACTGGTCATAAGTCCCTTTTTTCGGTGCCAGTGAAACTTTGAGCGCTCACTAAATGAATGGTTGTAAGTTGAGGATTACTCGTGAACTCCTCATTCGTTGGTTCCGGGAGGCATAATGAGTACCAAAAACGAGGAGTACCAAAAACAAGGAGTACCAAACACATTTTCCCCATAAGGAATAACATTGTGAGTCACAAGGCAGCTGGTACCGACAAGTTCCAGCTTGTGCGTTGAGTACCAAACGAACCGTGAGCAGCAGGACAAAATTTCCACCTCCAAATGCGTTGAGCAACCAGTGAGTTTCAAGGCAGTTGAGTATGAAGGTATCATTGTAGTTGAATAAGTTGACTAGCATTAAAACGAACAAACGTTGCCTGCTTTTCTTGGGGGGGGGGTCAAGAGTATCTCTTCCCCCCAAGGTCTGTAATGACTTTCTTCAGAGCAAGAAGCGCCGGTCAATCAAGAAGGTAAGATTGTAAGAATTGCCACGACTGCATATCCAATTTTTTATTTTTATTATTATTATTATTATTATTATGGATCATTGCACAATCAGCCAGATGTTCAGACTAGATTTGGCATTTTGTCTACCTATCGAGTCCTTACCCAGGACCTGGGATAGGCAGATGTGGATGTTTGATGGTATTACAGATCTCGTCACAGGATGGAAGCAGTTCCTAGTAAGGCCGCCTTTTGCAATTGACTAATAGCGAATGTGTCAATGCCAATGGTGTTCAAGTGGTGCTTCAGTTGTTTTGGGATTGCACCCAAGGAGCCTATGACTATTGGTGCTACCCTTGCTTGCTTTTGCCACAGTCTTTCTATTTCTGTTTGTAGGTCTTTGTATTTTGTTATCTTCTCCAGTTCTTTCTCATCATTATTATTATTGTTGTTGTTGTTGTTATTATTATTATTATTATTATAAGATTGAGCAGTCTCTACAGCTGCTCTTCGCCATCCCTTTCTTGGCATTAAAGCAGGGGTCCTCAACCTTGGCAACTTTAAGACTTGTGGACTTCAACTCCCAGAATTCCCCAGCGAGCATGGCTGGCTGGGGAATTCTGGGAATTCTGGGAATTCTGGGAGTTGAAGTCCACAAGTCCTCAAAGTGGCCAACGTTGGGGACCCCTGCCTTAAACAGCATTTCTTGGGGGATGGTTGTGAGGAAAGAATGGTGAGTGTAGATAAATGAAATTAGAAATATTTGTTTTCCTGCCTTGCTCCTAATACTACAATCTAGATTCATCCCGTGAATGGTTAGTGGAGGATTTTGGACCGATGGAAGGAAGGACTTCTTCACATAAGGCTCAGTGAGCCTGTGAACGTCCCGACTCAAAATCGTTCTGTGTGATCACTGAAGTGTATAGTAGGGGAGTTGATTACACGGCAGCTTGGGAAGCAAGTCTGCAGCCCTCTTTCAAATGCTTCCTTCTCCGCACATTTTAGGAGGCCTGCTTTAGGTGCTAACACAGGGGTAGTAGTCCTTGTCTTAAAGACCAGTCACTTAGTGGCCGAAATTATGATGGATCCCGAAAAAGCCACCCACCACCCAGATACCAGCTTCTGATGTTCAGCCCCCCCCCCAGTCAGATGACTGCATTTTGGGTACCCGGCAATTGGCTCATGTTTACATGAGCAGGGTCTTGCAATCATATGACCACAATTCACGGTGTTTTTGCTAGAAACTGGCTGTCATGGTTCCGACAGATGAAACTCTTCAAAGAAATTCGAGGCATTGTTTACCTTAAAGAATCTTTTATTCAAGTAGCGTAATATCGGCACTACATAATCCAAGCCAAAAACTGGATTCCCCTCCCCTGGGCACATAGTATCAGACACGATTCCCTCCCCCAATTCATAGTCATAAATCACATTTTCCAATTAGCTTGAAATGCAGGTTTTCCCTCCAGTTCTCCAGCCTGGCCAATCCTTATCATCTCTTATTTCAATAACCTTGGTTCTCACACTAGGTCCAGTATTGTTATGTCTAGCTAAACCAGTGTTTCTCAACCTTGACAATTTTAAGGCATGTGGACTTCAACTCCCAGAATTCCACAGCCAGCAATGCTGGCTGTGGAATTCTGGGAGTTGAAGTCCACATGCTTTAAAATTGTCAAGGTTGAGAAACACTGAGCTAAACTCTCATGCATATTCCTCCCCCCAGCATCATCTAACTCTAACTCTAACTCGAAGAGTAAAACATAAGAAGAAAAGGGCTGCATCTCCATCTGTTGTCAAAGCAAAAACATCCGAGGTTAGCAGCGTTGACGCTGGCATTTTGTTCTCTTAACAACTGCAGTGTTCGCTTAATGACTGCAGTGCTGGCTTTACGACTGTTGCATTTGCTTAATGATAGCCATAAAACCAGGCATGGTGAGGTAGTGACCCATATAAGACTGTCATGACCAAAATTGTGAGCTGAGTTGCAGTCATTAGAGCAGTGGTTCTCCACCTGTGGGTCGGGACCCCATTTGGGGTCGAACTGAGAACCACTGCATTAGAGGAGGGTTACTACCTGTAAACCCAATCCTTTTCGATCTTCCCTGCCTGTACATTAGAATTAATTTTTCCCCTTTTGGGGTCATTACTTTTTAAAATGTGTGTTGTTTAACGTTAATCTACTATTTGCTCTTAATTCTGACTGTTCCCGCTTTCCTGATCATTTTTCTTGATATGAGAAGCTTCCATCCTATTTTTTAATCTTCCTTATTATGCCGTGAACAAACAAATATTTGTATTCAGCGTCAGCACGCCTCGGTGCTCAGTAAGTATTTAACAATACTTTGCATATTGTAATTATACATATTGTGCTTAAACATAACCTGAGAGTCAAAAAGGGCCTCAGACATATTTTGAACACCAGAGGGTGCTGATGTATGGCAGCTGAATAATTTAATTTTGGAGAGGATGTTTCAATTGCGCAGTTAAGATACTTCAAATGTAAATTGTTTCCTGGATGAAATACCACAACATTGTCGAGTCGTATATTATGTGTGCGTTTTGCAGTTGTACTCAAGCTGGGATATCTTCTCAGCACACACATTTCTTATGAAATAGATACAGAGGCTCTTTCTTGCGTCTTCTAAATCCTTCTGGCTTTGGAACCAGCCATGCTGGGGCATCTGAACGGTTTGTGGACTTATTCTGCAGGCAGATCACAGTTTTATCCTCACCTGAAAATGTTGCAGGGCAGAGAAAGATGGGAACCTAAGAATGTGGGGTTTATTTACCTGGCACTAAACCAGAAGAAAGCTTTCAACCTGAGATTATGCAGACTTTTTTTCTTGCATGCTTTTAAAATTGCAACAACCAACCAGCCAGAAATGGATGCCTAATGTCCCACTGTTTTTCATGGGGGGGGAGGGCTTGGATGGGGGCTAAGATAAGCCTTCCTCTTCCTCCATCCCCACACAGACTTTGGTAGTAGTAGTAGTAGTAGTAGCAATAGTAGTAATAATGTTGCAGTAGTAGTAGTAGTAGTAGTAGTAGTAGTAAAGTTGGAAGGGACCTTGGAGGTCATCTAGTCCAACCCCCTGCTCGGGCAGGAAACCCTACACCATTTCGGACAAATGGCTGTCCAGTTTCTTCTTGAAAACTTCCAGTGTTGGAGCATTCACCGCTTCTGGAGGCAGGCTGTTCCACTGGTTAATTCTTCTGTCAGGAAGTTTCTCCTTAATTCCAGGTTGCTTCTC